CCCCCCCCCCCCCCGTGGGTGGCTTAAATAGGGTCTGTTTGGAAGCTGGGACTCGGGTTTTCTTATAGCCATACACGTTTCCACGAGGGTACGCTGCTGTCACGTCAGTCGTACTATGGAGGCCTCAGGAACAAGAACCAGGTAGTTCCTCTTTTCTCTTCTCTTTTTCTCCTCAATCCTAAAGTCGAAGGCTCTCGTGAGGAGAAGAGAAGGGAGAGAAGGAGGGAAAGATAAGAGGAACACGATTTTCATGGGAAGAGCCAAGAAAAGAATAGAAGAGAGATAAAACAAGGCGCAAAGAAGATGGTACTCTTCTTTATCTATCCTCTCTCCCTTATCTCTCCGTTCCCTCTGTCTTTTCGAAATGAGAAAAACAAAAAGAAAGATGAAAAGAAGAAGGGTTAGGAAAAGAGACGAAGAGATAGGCCGAAAAGAGGGGTATGGTGAAGTACGGCAAAGGTCCACGCACAAGGAGTCACCTTCTGCTTACCCTTCCACTGCTTGATTTTACAAGCTCCTTTCTTGTGTTTTATCAGTTAAAATTAAACGGAAACAGAAGGAGAGAAGGGAAAGGGAAGTGAGAGAGGAGAGACAACAAGGAGGCCATTTTAATTTCCTGTGAGTTATCAAAAGGAATGCAATATTATGGGAAGAGCAATGGAAAAAAGAGTGGAAGAGAAATTAAGACAGGAGAGGGAGGTGCAAAAATAAGGCAAAGAGAAGATGGTGCCGTTTTCATCTCACCTCTCGTTCTTATCTTCCTCTTCTCTGGTTCTTTTCCCTGTGAAATAAAAAACAAAAGGAAGGACAATGAACATATAAAGGAACCCGTTTTCGTTTTCCGTTTGGGCACAAGGAAAAAAACAGAGGCGATAGGGCGAGAGGAGGGGTTTGCTGAAGCATGGGGAGGGTGTACGGGCAAGGGGCCAACTCCGCCCACTTCCCCCATCCATTGAAAGAGGAAAAGGAACAGGGCCTCCATTCCCCTCTTATTCTTCCTTTCTTGCGTTGTTGTCGTTTAGAAGGGAACAGGAGAAGAGGAGGGAGAGAGAAGGAGAGAGGAGACATAAAAAGGGTTGCATTTTTAATGGGAAGAGCAAAGAAAAGACCAGAAGAGAGATGATGGGAGAAGAGGGGGAGACAAAACAAGGCGCACAGAAAATGGGCAGATAAGAAGAGAGGAAAGGGAATGACCAAGTACAATGAGGAGTTCTTCAATTTCCCTCCCTATCTCTTATGTTACTTTTCCTTCTTGTGGGGTGTCCCTTTTTCTCTTGAAGATGCAGAAAACGATTGAAAAGGACACCCGTTCCATCGCCCATATGTAGGGAAAGAGAGAGAATCATGAGCATCAGCTGGGCTTGCTGCCAATCCAACATGGGCGTCCCTTTTAATCGCATTCTGTGTCCTTTTTTCTCGCTTGAAGATGCAGAAAACGATCCAAAAGCACATCTGTTGGAGGAAGAGAGAAGGAGAGAGGAGAGATACCAAGGATTGCATATTTAATGGGAAGAGCAAGGAAGAGAATAGAAGACAGATGAATAGAGAAGATGGCGCTCTTCTTTCTCTATTCTCTCTCCCTTGTTTCTCCCTTCCCTCTTTCTTTTCGAAATGAGAAAAACAAAAAGGAAGAACTATGAGAAGGAGAAGAGTAAGGAAAGGAACAGAAGAGATAGGCCGAGAGGATGAATATGATGGAGTATTATGGAAAGGCTCACGCGCAAGGAGTCACCCTCTGCTTACCTTTTCACTGCTTTATCATATGAGTTCCTTTCTTGTGTTTTATCAGTTAAAAGGAAGCGGAAGAAGAGAAGGGAAAGGGAAGTGAGAGAGGAAAGATAACAAGGATGATATGTTTCCCGAAGCGTGCTGCAAGGAATAGAAGAGACAGGAAGCAAGGAGACGGAATCACAAAATAAGGCGCAAAGCTGTACATATCATCTCTCCCTTGTCTCTCCCTATTCCCTTTCGAAATAGAAAAAACCATTCTTGCTTTTCACAGATAGGTTCCCTCTCTCCTCTTCAGGAAATCCCCTTTCCCTTATGTTGCTTTTTGAAGCGAATAAGAAAAATAGCAGATAAGAAGAGAGGAAAGGGTCAATTTCCCTCCCTATCTCTTATGTTGTTTTTCCTTCTTGTGGGGTGTCCCTGTTTCTCTTGAAGATGCAGAAAACGATTGAAAAGGACACCCGTTCCATCGCCCATGTGTAGGGAAAGAGAGAGAATCATGAGCATCAGCTGGGCTTGCTGCCAATCCAACATGGGCGTCCCTTTTAATCGCAGTCTGTGTCCTTTTTTCTCGCTTGAAGATGCAGAAAACGATCCAAAAGCACATCTGTTGGAGGAAGAGAGAAGGAGAGAGGAGAGATACCAAGGATTGCATATTTAATGGGAAGAGCAAGGAAGAGAATAGAAGACAGATGAATAGAGAAGAGGAAGAGACAAAACAAGGCGCAGAGAAGATGGCACTCTTCTTTATCTATTCTCTCTCCCTTGTTTCTCCCTTCCCTCTTTCTTTTCGAAATGAGAAAAACAAAAAGGAAGAACTATGAGAAGGAGAAGAGTAAGGAAAGGAACAGAAGAGATAGGCCGAGAGGATGAATATGATGGAGTATTATGGAAAGGCTCACGCGCAAGGAGTCACCCTCTGCTTACCTTTCCACTGCTTTATCATATGAGTTCCTTTCTTGTGTTTTATCAGTTAAAAGGAAGCAGAAGAGCAGGGAACAGCAAAAATTGAGCCCAACATTTTAGGACCAGGCCTTGCGACCTGACTCTTTGGAGCAAATATCGATTCCAAAATCTTAGGGACCAGGGCTTGCGATGTTACTCTTTGGAGCAAGAAATGAGCCCAAAATCTTAAAGACCGGGGCTTGCGATTTCACCTTTTGGAGCAAATACTGGGCCCAAAATCTTAGGGACCAGGGCTTGCAATTTGACTCCGTGGAGCACAAATCGACCCCGAAATCTTAGGGACCAGGGCTTGCGATTTGACTCTGTGGAGCACAACTCGACCCCGAAATCTTAGGGACCAGGCTTGCGATTTGACTCTTTGGAGCAAAAATCGACCCAAAAATCTAAGGGACCAGGGCTTGCGATTTTACTCTTTGGCGCAAAAACTGGGCCCCAAATCTTAGGGACCAGGGCTTGCGATGTCACTCTTTGGAGCAAAATTGAACCCAAAATCTTAGGGACCAGGGCTTGCGATTTGACTCTTTGGAGCAAAAACTGGGCCCCAAATCTTAGGGACCAGGGCTTGCGATGTCACTCTTTGGAGCAAAAAACGAACCCAAAATCTTAAGGACCAGGGCTTGCGATGTCACTCTTTGGAGCAAAAATTAAACCCAAAATCTTAGGGACCAGGACTTGCGATGTCACTCTTTGGAGCAAAAACTGGGCCCCAAATCTTAGGGACCAGGGCTTGCGATGTCACTCTTTGGAGCAAAAACTGGGCCCCAAATAATAGGGACCAGGGCTTGCGATGTTACTCTTTGGAGCAAAAACTGGGCCCCAAATCTTAGGGACCAGGGCTTGCGATGTCACTCTTTGGAGCAAAAATTGAACCCAAAATCTTAGGGACCAGGACTTGCGATGTCACTCTTTGGAGCAAAAAACGAACCCAAAATCTTAAGGACCAGGGCTTGCGATGTCACTCTTTGGAGCAAAAATTAAACCCAAAATCTTAGGGACCAGGGCTTGCGATTTTACTCTTTGGCGCAAAAACTGGGCCCCAAATCTTAGGGACCAGGGCTTGCGATGTTACTCTTTGGAGCAAAGATTGAACCCAAAATCTTAGGGACCAGGGCTTGCGATTTGACCCTTTGGAGCAAAAACTGGGCCCAAAATCTTAGGGACCAGGGCTTGCGATTTGACTCTTTGGAGCAACTGGGCCCAAGATCTTAGGGACCAGGGCTTGCGATGTCACTCTTTTGGGCAATTAATTGAATTAATTGAATTAATTGAATTAATTGAATTAATTGAATTAATTCAATTAATTCAATTAATTCAATTAATTCAATTAATTCAATTAATTCAATTAATTCATTTATTTCCAAAGGGGAGGTGGAATTAATTGAATTACTTGAATTAATTCAATTATTTCAATTAATTCAATTAATTCAATTAATTCAATTAATTCATTTATTTCCAAATGGGGGGGGGATTCCCCAGCCCCCACCCCCCCCCCTTTGGAAATAAATGAATTAATTGAATTATTTGAATTAATTGAATTAATTGAATTTCAATTAATTCAATCAATTCATTTATTTCCAAAGGGGAGGTGGAATTAATTGAATTAATTGAATTAATTGAATTAATTCAATTAATTCAATTAATTCAATTAATTCAATTAATTCAATTAATTCAATTAATTCAATTAATTCATTTATTTCCAAAGGGGGGGGAGGGGTGGGGGCTGGGGAATCCCCCCATTTGGAAATAATTGAATTAATTGAATTAATTGAATTAATTGAATTAATTGAATCAATTCAATTAATTCAATTAATTCAATTAATTCAATTAATTCAATTAATTCCACCCCCCCCCCTTTGGAAATAAATGAATTAATTGAATTAATTCAATTAATTCAATTAATTCAATTAATTCAATTAATTCAATTAATTCATTTATTTCCAAGGGGGGGGGGGGTGGGGGCTGGGGAATCCCCCCCATTTGGAAATGAATGAACTAATTGAACGAAATTATTTAAACTATCGCGGCTCGATTTGGCCAAATTTTGCCGGGCAGCCTGCGGGCAAAATTTGGCCAAATCGGGCTGCTCTTCGTATGACATGAGAAATGCGCGGCTCGATTTGGCCAAATTTTGCCCGGAGGCTGCCCGGCAAAATTTGGCCAAATCGAGCCGCGCATTTCTCAGCGCGTACGACGAGCAGCCCGATATGGCCAAATTTTGCCCGCAGACTGCCCGGCAAAATTTGGCCAAATCGAGCCGCGATAGTTTAAATAATTTCGGGCCTCCAGAAAGGCGCAGAAAGGCGCGGCTCGATTTGGCCAGATTTTGCCGGGCAGTCTGCGGGCAAAATTTGGCCAAATCGGGCTGCTCGTCGAACGCGATGAGAAATGCGCGGCTCGATTTGGCCAAATTTTGCCGGGCAGCCTCCGGGCAAAATTTGGCCAAATCGAGCCGCGCCTTTCTGAAGGCCCGAAATGTTTAAACTATCGCGGCTCGATTTGGCCAAATTTTGCCGGGCAGCTTCCGGGCAAAATTTGGCCAAATCGGGCTGCCCTTCGTATGCGATGAGAAATGCGTGGCTCGATTTGGCCAAATTTTGCCCGGAGGCTGCCCGGCAAAATTTGGCCAAATCGAGCCGCGATAGTTTAAATAATTTCGGGCCTCCAGAAAGGCGCGGCTCGATTTGGCCAAATTTTGCCGGGCAGCCTCCGGGCAAAATTTTGCCAAATCGAGCTGGGGGGGTGGGGTCTGGGGAATCCCCCCCATTTGGAAATACATGAATTAATTGAATTAAGTGAATTAATTGAATTAATTCAATTAATTCAATTAATTAAATTAATTCAATTAATTCCACCCCCCCTTTGGAAATAAATGAATTAATTGAATTAATTCAATTAATTGAATTAATTGAATTAATTGAATTAATTCAATTAATTCATTTATTTCCAAAGGAGGGGGAGGGGTGGGGGCTGGGGAATCCCCCCCATTTGGAAATAAATGAATTAATTGAATTAATCGAAATAATTCAACTAATTCAATTAATTCAATTAATTCATTTATTTCCAAAGGGGAGGTGGAATTAATTGAATTAATTGAATTAATTCCAATTAATTCAATTAATTCAATTAATTCAATTAATTCAATTAAATTAATTTAATTTTGTTTCATTTATTTCCAAAGGGAGTGGTTCAATTAATTCAATTAATTCAATTAATTCAATTAATTCAATTAATTCAATTAATTCAATTAATTCAATTAATTCAATTAATTCAACTAATTCAATTAATTCCACCCCCCCTTTGGAAATAAATGAATTAGTTGAATTAATTGATAAAATTCATTAAATTCCAGGGGGAAAGTGGAAATTAAGGAATTTAATGAATTAAATTCTGTCTGTGCAACCCTACAGGACCTAAAATAGGGTCTATTTGGAACATGGCTCTTGTGAATAAGTATACGTTTTGGGGCCTGTTTTCCTCTTGTAAATACGATTCCCAGCTTCCAAATAGACCCTATTTAAGCTGCACACCCCCCCCCCCCCGCGCTTTGGGGGGGTAAGGAGGGAAAGAGGGAGGTTTTCACCTCCTTTTCCCATCCAACACGCCGGCGGACCCTAAACCCTAAGCCCTAAACCCTAAACCCTAAACCTCTAAACCCTAAACCCTAAGCCCTAAGCCCTAAACCCTAAACCCTCAACCCTAACCCCTAAACCCTAAACCTAGCAGTGAGAAACGAGTAGACAGTCAGGAGGCTAGTCATGAGGCTGGGGCACCGGAGGTCTACACTAGACCCTCCAGAATTCCTTTTTTACATTGCTACTATTTACTTAAGAACCTCTCAAAAATTGAAAAATGTTCTTCCTTAATAAGGGCAATTTTGGGATGATCCGAGTGTTAACGACACCACGCCGTGTGATCCTTCGTTGCCTGGGGATTCCGGGTTCAGGGACGAGTCAGGGGCTCGGATTGGGACTGTTCCTGAAGGGATTGTGGGACTTTGACGCTTCTCATAACTTGAAGAACCGAGATGCGAAGCTCAAGAGCCTTTAACCCCCTAAACCCCGTAGCCTTGCCAAAGCTCGAAGCAGGCCCCATGAAATCCGTTCGGCATTCGAATAGGGGGGTACTTTCATCCCTATGAAGGGCTGTTCGTATAAGCAGGGAACGCCCCAACCCATACTACTCCGGGTTCAAGGGTGGTTTTGCCCCAATGGAATTTGAGCAATTTACTGGCCGGCTTACAGCCAAGTCCGCTCCCAGGATGGGTTTGACAGTTGTTTTGAGATCTTGGAGTTTGTCCGAATCCTGACCCACATCAGGCCTTGCGGCCACTTGGCGAGTAGCTCCGCACCTCCAATTCCCAACAACTTCCGTTCCAAAGAACTTCCTAGAACCTTATACAGCTCTCCCACCCCCCCCCCCGAGACGTGCCCTTGTTCCCTTTTTGGGGTTCGTAAACCACGCAACCCTGAGACACCTGATGCAGGGGACCTCCCGCTCGCGAGGTTCGTTGGCCCGCTGATGCGTTGAGACCCCAAGCTTCCTAAACTGCTGTAAACCCAGATCTTCCACAACCCCTTAATTAAGGAATATACCCTGACTCATATGAAGGATCCTTAGTATGAACTAGGGTATATTCCTTAGTTAAGGGTTTTTTTGGAAGATCTTGGAAGAAATCCACGAAACTCCATGAGATTCGGACCGGGGTTGGGGGGCTCAGTGACAACTGGGGTAAGCCAGCCTGGAGGCCAGCTCGCCCGCCTGGGGCTCCCTCGCAGGGTCTCACTGAGCGCTCGACCAGCGCCCGCCTACTGGGGTGGCGGGCGGGTTTAGGGTTTAGGGTTTGGGGTTTGGGGTTTGGGGTTTGGGGTTTGGGGTTTGGGGAGAGCGAATCCAAGGCGTGTTGGGAAAAGCTCTCAGCAAGTTCAGGAGCTGGATGTAGGCTGATAAGGGTCCTGTCAACATGATTCTTGCGAAGTGGCGGAGCCGGAGGATTGACGTCGCACGCTGTCGCAAAAATCTCGGAGATTGATTGGCGTCGCTTTTGTTGGTTACAACACTCAGCTCTCGACGAGGGTGTCTGCTGTTCTTCATGCGGTGTTATCAAGGGGCCACGCGACATTGCTTGGTCTGGGAAGCCCCGACCCTGATGGCAAATCCGAAGCTCTTCCGGTGCTTAGGTGACTTTAGACCTTCGATCTAGGATTCAAGGTATTGTCCCGTAGAGTGCGCACTTAAATTTGGCATGCGCCCCTTCACAGAAAACGCTTGCCCTTCAGTAGATGCTTGCTTCACCAGGGGGTGTCAGGGTCGTCATCAAGAATTACGAAACACGCCCTACACTGCACATCCGGGTAGTTCTTTTTCTTGGCGCCTACGCGCCTTCAGTTTCAGCTCATCGCGAGCGACCGGGCCCTTCCCTCGCATGGCCTGGCTCAGACCCTACCAAGCCTAAGGCAGGATTCCCCGACGTTGACGCGATCTTCGACATCCTTGAGCGCCCCAGCAGCAAGCAGCTGTTGGATGCGCAGGTTCGGATTCATTTAGGGTTTAGGGTTTAGGGTTTAGGGTTTAGGGTTTAGGGTTTAGGGTTTAGGGTTTAGGGTTTAGGGTTTAGGGTTTAGGGTTTAGGGTTTAGGAGCGACGCTGAAACTCAAGACGGCCCCACCTGAAGCACGCAAGCCTGCACCCTTGAGTCGCTACACCATGACACATCGTACCGATTTGTAATGAATCTAACACTGTAACTAAATCAGTGTTAGGGATCCTTTTTAATGGGCTTTCTTATATATAAACAAAAAGGATCCTTTTTTCTTCCTAGGGGAACAGGGATTAAGGATACAACCTATGAACTTTTTTTCTCCTTCAAACACCAAAGCGACGCACTTTTCGTGGGTGCCGAGGGGGCCATCTCGGGGCGGTTCTCGGGGTCCAGGTATTAGGTGGGCATGAAAGCACTGTAGGATCCCGTCGCAACCCTAAACCCTAGACCCTAGACCCTAAACCCTAAACCCTAAACCCTAAACCCTAAACCCTTCTTCATTTTGGAACAACCCCTGGCGTCTGCTTGCCTGATGACTCAAGACATTCTGACCACCCTCACTCACCCAATCCCTTCACCCGAAAAGGGCTAACTCTCCCCAGCCACTGTAGCCTCATGATGTCTCATGCAATATTATTCCTTGATCAGCCGAATATAGTATTAAGGGGGGGGGGGGTGGTAGAAGTTTAATGGCGGGTCGCGTAGTGGCTTAAAGGTAAACGAGATACACCCTCCCCATGCGATTTTGAGGCAACAAGGGTGAAACCCGAAGCTCTCCGAGCTTCAACCCCAGCCCTCCTGAGCGGAAGCCCGGCGCCTTCCAACCGCAAGCCTCCCACATTTGATTCTTGAGCCGTGGAAGGTGGGAGTGGGAGATCCAGCAGGGGCATGCTGCTCGGCTTGTCAGGAACTAAGCATGACGAGCTCGTCTGCAAAAAAAGAAGAGAATAGTCGGTCTCAGCTGCACTTGTGCGAGGATTCCAGTGGCACAACCGCGACGGGATCTTCCTCCAGCTCCGAAGGTGCGAGAAAAGCCCGAACAGCCACAGCCTCTACAGCCACGCGTCGCGCCACCCGACCCCCCCCTTCCTGCCTGAGATTCTCCCAAGCGGGCTTTTGGAGAGCCCGAAGCCCCGCTGTTTGCGCTCCTGGGATTCAAGAGAGACTACCAGGAGCGCTGGGGGCCCTCCCTCTCTGAGGCGTCGCGCCCGGCGCCGCGCCCGTGTCGGGGAGGCTGCGGCATCTGCTGCACCATCTGAGCTTTGCGGCCTTGCTGACGCTGGCGGCGAGCAGCTGTGTGGCCCGGGGAGCATCTCCCAGCTCGCTCTCTCTCTCTCTCTCTCTCTCTCTCTCTCTCTCTCTCTCTCTCTCTCTCTCTCTCTCTCTCTCTCTCTATATATATATATGTATATATATATAATTGTATTATATGATATGATATATGTTATATTATATTATATCATATTGTATTATATTATATTGTAGTATATTATATTATATTATATTATATTATATTATATTATTTTATATTATATTATATTATATATATATATTATATTGACTTTTATTATATTCTATTATGTTATATGTTATTATATAACATTATATTATATGTACTATATTATTTATATTATATTAATATTATATTATATTATATTATATTATATTATATTTAATTTATTGTATGGTACTATATTAAATGTTATAGTATATGTTATATTATATGTTATATTATATGTGCTATGTTATGTTATATTATATTATATGATATCATATTGTATTGTATTATATTATATTATATGATGTTATATTCTTTTGTTTATCAAAGAATATATTTTCTTATATTGTATTCTATTATATTTTTATATGGTATTATATTATGTTATATTATATATTATATTATATTGTATTCGATTGTCCGCCGACCCCGGCAAGTTGGGGGCGAGCGCAAGTGAAGGGTTTTTTCCGTTCTCGCACGGCTCAGAGTTGGGGCATCCCCGCTCCCCATGTCCCAGCCACCCCATGCCTCCCTCCCCAACCCATCCCCCCCGCCCCAGTCACCCCCCAAAAAAACGCTTGAGTTCTTTGTCCCAACACCACCCACCCCCCCCGCCCCCCTATGACCCCCCCCATACCCCCCCCCCATACACCCCTAGAAACCCTACATCCTACGTCAGGCGCCCTAACCCTAGACCCTCAACCCTCGGCCCTGAACCCTAAACCCTGAAGCCTGAAGCCCCTGCCCTTCTACTCTCTCGCTGGAGCCTGGCGCCTTTTTCGGGGTCGGCGGAAGCGGCGTTAGCCCTTAGATTTATCTAAATTTTCAGTAGATAAATAAAGAAATGATATATATATATATACATATACAACTATAGATATGAATCCCCCGGTCTCCATATGCTTCTGCAGTGCCTGGACTTTCTGGGTGGGGGGGACGCCGGGGGCGGCACTAATGGGTTCTGTCCCAGATGAGCACCCCCTCCCCAGTCCGGGGCTGCGCGGTGGAGGTGACAGTGCCATCCTCCTCTCTCCCTTTTTTTTTTTTTTGTTGTTTCTTTTGGTTTTTGTTCTGCTTGTTGCGTTCCCTGCTCTTCCTGTCGCTTCCTGCCGCCGTCTCGGGTCTTTCAGGCTTGTAACCTCCCTGCCTTTCTTCCCTTGCCTACTCGCTGCCATGGCCCTCTTCCCTCATATCCGCTGCTCGCTGAAACGGCAGTTGGATGTGTTGCTGCACTTGCTCCTGGCCCGCTCCGCCCTGGACCTCACAGGCTCCATTCCAGTTGACCTCGCCACCTTCAACGTGGACCTTTGCTTTGAGGGCGCCTCGGCCAAGTCTTCCGGTTGGTCAGCTCGGGAAGTACTGATGCGCATGGACGCCCGCTTTGTCTCCTGGCCTACTTCGCCCTTTGTGGTGGCCTCGAAAAAGATCCTGTCTGACGCGCCGGCCGAAGGTTTTGACAATCTTCTTCTTCTTTGCATTATGGGCACGCCTGCTTTTGCGCAGCTACTTTCTTCGTCGGGTCTCTCCGGTACCCAACTCTCCCGCGCAGGACAAGCTGGCGCGGCTCTTACGCTCCTTTCGGGGCCATCCAGCTTCCCTGGTGGATCGTTCTACTCGGGCGGGTCGTGTTTTACATGGTCGCCTCACTGGGATGAAGACCCGTGCTGAAGCAAAGCAAGCCCTCATCCATTCCATCCCTTTGGGCCTTAAGCGCCCACAACTCAAGGTTGGCAAGCGCTGGCGTGCCAAACACGCCATCTTGGCGCACATTGGTGGCTATCCGCAGTTCGGCCCCTACTCCACGTCTGCATTCTGGCAACTGTTTCGCACCCTGTACCCCACCTTCCCCGCGTCCGTGGACAAGCAGTTCTGCGAGACTGGCCCCGGTGCACGTGGTGGCTTCAATTGGCTTATGGGGTTCCCTCCTTCCCTGGGTAAGGCGTCCAAGGATGTGCATCACTCCCTCCTCTATGCGGATAAGCTGGTTAAGCTCGGTCTTCCTCTTGCCCGTAATCGCCTTCTGCGCCCTTCGGCTGGTGACCCCGCGCGCGTGGCTGCGGCTGAACGCAGCCAAACGCAAGCTCCTCCTACACTTGGACACCCTTGAAGGTCGTGCCTTTGCTTGCTGCGAATGCAGTAAGTTTGTACATTTCCTTCTCCACTCGTCACGCTGACGCGTTGCCTCTGCCCTCGCCTCGCGGTTCAAAAGTTCGCCCAGGCTCTGTTGTGCTTCCCTCACATGCGTTTTTTTTTTTTCTCTCTCTCTCTCTCTCTCTCTCTCTCTCTCTCTCTCTCTCTCTCTCTCTCTCTCTCTCTCTCTCTCTCTCTCTCTCTCTCTCTCTCTCTTCGTGTGTGTGTGTGTGTGTCTCCGTTTTTGTCTGTCTGTCCGTCCGTCTGTCCGTCTGTCCGGCTGTGTGCCTTTCGGCCTTTTTTTTTTGTTCCTTCTTTTTTCTTGTCTCCTCGTTTTTTTTTTGGCCTTCCTTCCTCCTTTTTTTTTTTTTTTTTTTTTTTTTTTTTTTTTTTTTTTTTTTTTTTTTTTTTTTTTTTTTTTTTTTTTTTTGGGGGGGGGGGTGCGTGCAGGCTTGCGTGCGTGCTTTGGTGCGTGCTTTGGTGCGTGCGCGCGCGTGTGTGTGTGTGTGTGTGTGTGTGTGTGTGTGTGTGTGTGTGTGTGTGTGTGTGTGTGTGTGTGTGTGTGTGTGTGTGTGTGTGTGTGTGTGTGTGTGTGTGTGTGTGTGTGTGTGTGTGTGTGCACACGCCTGAACATGGCGATCACTGAGACTGAGCTTCTGCGTCCGACGCATTTCAAGGCTGTTCATTTGATTCTCGGCCATTGCAAGTTTTATTGGCCAAACAGAGCTTTCTGTGAGTATCTCGGACCATCTGCCGCGCAAGGCTGGCCATGTGAAAATAACTCGTCATTCTTTGATGGTGCTGCACACGACGGCATGTAAGAATCACATGCAGTCTTTTCGGGGTGCTGCGCACACAGCGCTTCTGCAGTGTGGAACACAGGGTTTTCCCTGTGCCCCCATTTTCCGCGAGACCGGAACCTAGAGCCTTCGGACTTTTCCATTTTGCAGGGGGCAGTGACCCGCTCATAAGCTCACTGCCAATGAAGCTGCTTATGAGTTGGGAGGATATCCAGGCTGATCACCTGGACGTACCTGCATGTAGAGTGGGATACCACACTGCTTGTGACATCATGTACCCTGAAGTCCCGAGGCAGGCAACCATGCTCCTTTTCTTTCTTCCCTTCTTCTTGGTACCGTGACCACTGCATCAGTTCATGCCAAGCCAAAGTGTGTACCAGTTCTGGTTTTTCCCGACATGGGGCCAGATCTCAGGGGCATGTGCCCGAGCCCGCGATAGCGGATGAGTGAATCACAACGTTGCAGACGCTTGTTCTCATCCATCGGGATCATCTGCAGTAGGATGACATGTGCCCACAGTGGGCTTCATCGGGTTCATCGGTCACTGCACGGTCAAGGGCCGCGGTCAAGGGTTGATCAGTAGAGACAGCTTGCTCAACATGTGCTTTCCCTAGGAGTGCAGGTAGTTCGTCTGTGCATGTGCAGGTAGGAGGACCAGGTAGGCACGCGCTCAAGGTATCCGGAATCCTTAAACAGACATGTCATTGACTGTCCTCCCATGATGCTGTCTGAACCCGGTTTTGTTGATTCCGCGTTTCTTGTTGCCTCCTGGTGTCGTTCCTGTATTGTTGTCTAAGCCTCCTCTCTTGTTGCTGTTCATGACTGACTTGCTGACACACGTGTTGCGGTTTTTCGGTTCCGGATAGGTCTCTTTTCTTGCCCTTCGGCGTGGTTTTGCCCCTTCTCGGTGCCACAATGTTCCTCGACCCTCGAATGGGTGCGTTATTGAATGCACTCGGGCCTGCGGCTCCCTACGTGCCTACATCTTTCTCACCTGCGCATTGGCCGCTTGTGTTTGCTCCGCCGGATCCCAACCCCGGGGTTTCGGCGCCCACTACTGCTGGCTCAGTGACAAGGCCGACCACTGCGGCCGCCCGTGATGCATCAACCACTCCCACAGAAGAGATTGTTGAGCGTTTGCGGGCTCGCCAGCGCCGTAACGAGCAAAGATTGCAGCCACCTGCAGGAAGCCGTCACAGTCCCAGAGATCGAGGAGACGCCCGTGCCAGGCAACATAGAGATCGTACACGACGATCCAACAGCCGCCATCGTCACCATCGTCACCAACACCGAGGACGTTCATCACAAGATCGGTCTCGTTCTCGCCGACGCCGAACGACGCACAGGAGAAGGACCGACAGTAGGAATTCCCGCGGAGATCGTTCCCCTCACAGAGCTCATGGGTCACCGCGCTCATCCAGGCCTATCGTGTTAGTGTCTGGGCCCGGCGCATTTGCTGACCATCCAGGCGGTCCTCATGTGACTTCTCGTGGGGGTCGACCGGGACAAGACCATCAACAACGTAAACTTCATGGCCCCAGATTCAACGACCAGAGACGGCAGCATCACTCTTCGTGGCAAGATTGGGGCGATCGTCCCCAATCCTTTGGCTCCCGACAATGGCAACCGCAACCTACCCATAGCTCTGGGAAGTGATCCTCAACTCCTCACGCAGCAGTTGCTCAGCGCACTCCTCCAATTCCACCCCCAGCCCGCCGACACACTGAGGGATACGCAGGCCTTCCTGGTCGTTGGCATGATTACCAGCGTGGATGGAACGCTGCCAGAGTGGCGGCGGCGCATGCAGCAGACACACCCAATCGCATCAAGG